GTGTGTGGAAAGAAGTGGCACGAAATGGTTTGTGCGCCATATTCGATCACGTTCCGGTTTCGATCCTGATCACATAAGTTACAATGCTGATGAAGAGTATTGTGAATTTTCACGTGGCTCAAATGTTCGATTCAGCAATATATAATAACCATCTTCTTCATCACTGACATCTCTATTAACATTCGGATATACCGCTCGTATAGGACGATCAAATACCGATGATAGAGCGGATAAAGTGAAAACACTCGTATACTCACCATTATTTATGATTGATATTTATGATATTACATGGTCTTCGACAGGCTCATCTTCGACAAGGTCACGTCCGGAAGGGTTCCGAGTTCTTAAAAAAATTAGCGTTCATTTATGCTAAAACTTGAATCGATCGGACTCGAAATACAAAGGCTCGAGTTCGAGTCCGAATCTCTCCAAAGAATCGCCAGTCCAGGTCCGGATCCTCAAAAAAACCTTTCAGTCCGGACTCGAGTCTGAGTCTCGCCCATGCCTGGTAGAACGCATAAAATCAAGATTGTTTTCACTTCTTGACAGTGTTTCTAGATTTTATGGCAAAACCTCTCTTAACACTTTTGATCCCATAGAGCACTGCCACACCATGAAGTCTCAGTTTCAGATCTATTTTAAATATTGACTTAAATATAAAAGAGAAGCGCGAAGCAGAAACACGGCGCAATTTAAAGATTACTAACAACCGTTTTTCGAATGTGTAGATACAGTCAGCACTTCAAATTCTCCACTAGAAAGTTGAGTCTTAGATGAAAACTATGGTTGATACTAGATTTTACAAAGTTGTAGAAGTGTGATTTTCTTATTGAAAATTGTTTATTTTCGAACTGTGAAGTTAGTTTTGAAGAAATAAAATGTATCTAACATCCCGCTCCTGTCATTAACTCATTCGTACTGGAGAAAACACAGCAGAGAAACAAGGATTGCCGGGCAAAACGTAGCTTTTGCAGCATATTCCTGTTATTCTCCAAACCCATGTCAAACCTGTTGTGCCGATCGCGGTAGACATTCCATTGCACTAAAAAACATGAGGTAAGAGAATTTGTGTGGATTGTGCAACGGATAAGAAATAGCAAAGAAAAGAAATAGAGAAAGAAGAAATCGTTCTTCAATGAGACCGTTATGAATTGCAGGAGCTGGCTACTGTAGTGGCTACAGTATAAAAATTTTCTAGAGTATGCTGTTTGTAAACGGTACCTATAAGAATGCAAAAAACGTGCTTTTTTTGTTTTAATCTTGACATATAGGAGATTTTGATGATAAACTGAACTGTGCTTTACTACTTAGTGTTAAGAGAAATTGTATCTGTGATAGTAATGATTGTATTCATAGTGGTAATCATCACAATTATTCTGTATAAACTGATCAGCTTCTTTATTCTCAATCCCTATCGAATTTATCGTATATTTTTGAGACAACAGATACGTGGCCGTTATACACCTGTTATTGGCGATTTATTAAATGTTGCTCGAGCAAAAGCCAGAGGCGAAATGTTACAATTTATGGATAAGATGTTTGACGAATACGGTCAATATTATCATAGTTCATTGGGACCTGTGGCACGTTTTCTTACGTGTGATCCGTCCATTATGCAATATGTACTGAAAAAAAATGTCAAGTCCTATCATAAATCATTAATAATGAAATACATCTTAGGAACGTTGTTGGGTATGGAAAATTTACTAATGGCCGAAGATGAAGTACATCAATTACATCGTCGCATAATTGGTCCTGTATTTCAGCATCAAAATTTAATATCGATGCTAAGTTTAATGACTGATAAAACAGAATTAATCATCAATAAATGGAAACGGCTTATGGATGAGACGACTAAAAGTTATGTGGATTTGGATTTTCATGTCGAAATGGCCAATTTAACATTGGATATTGTTTGCGGTTGTTTATTCGGAACAGATTTAATTAATAATATTGAAATACATCGGTTTATTTATAATTCCGTTACAAATGCCTATCGCGAAACAGAAAAGCGATTGTTTAACATGATTGGTATCATCCCCATACTTAAGGACTTACCATTACCAAGTAAATTGAGAATGGATAAAGGAAAACAAGAGGTGAAGAAAGTTATTCTTAAGATTATCAAAGATAGAAAAGATGGACATTCATCGGCAGCTTGCAAAGGTGAAACTTCTGATCGTATGCGTTAGAGCAACTCTAATTATTTTGTTCATCCTTTAGGTGCAGATTTATTAGATCTATTACTTTCTGCTCAAAGTGAATCAGGGCAGAAATTAACTGATGAACAAATCTATGAAGAAGCTCTCACATTTGGTAGGATATCATATAATTTCCTTCTCTTGTATTTGATTAGTCTTTAACCTTTGAGTAATGGCCGGTCATGAAACAACGTCAAATCTAATGACATGGACATTTTATAATTTAACACAACATCCAATTGCTTACGAAACATGTCGAAAAGAACTGGATAAAGTACTGAATCGTGGTTTACCCAATCCTCAAAACCTATCGCAGTTAACATACACAGAAGCAATATTAAAAGAATCGTTACGTATTCATCAACCAGTGCCTTTAATATCTCGAACAGCCATCGAAGACAATGATGTGGTTGCGCATGATGGAAAAACAATACGTATTCCAAAAGGAGTTGAGATCCTTCTAAATTTTTATAGTTTACATCAGTAAATTGTTTTGAGAAAGTAATGCTACAAATATCTATCGTGTTCCTCTTCATTGTAGTTCTGACAGATATTGGCCCAACCCCAACGAATTTAACCCCGACCGGTTTCTCGATGACAAAAAAATGAATATCATACCTCACACTCTGTTACCTTTTTCGTCCGGTTCACGCAGTTGTGTGGGACAAAATTTTGCCATGTTAGAAGCAAAAGTAATGTTATCAAGAATTTTACAAGAATTTGATTTAGAATTATTACCAGGTCAAAAAATTGTACCTGACATACTTGTGACGATGAGGTGAGACTGGAAGAGACTCCTCTCGATCTAGAAAATTTTCTTTAATTTTTTTGACTTTTAGGCCTAGATATGGCTTACGGTTACGAGTTAAACGACGAGACGTGTGATGAATCCATTTCATGTACTTGTTTTGGCACAAAAATAAAGTATTTTTTGTAGGACCGATTGTGTCAATGTGAAAAGTCTGCCTAAGAAAAATAGCTTTAGCACACTTAAGATTTTCCCCTGATTACTTAACCCGGATCATCGAATGATTTGTTTGTTGTCTGTGGACATAGCATTTCTTCATTATCGTTAGATGGACAATCTCTTTTCGAATTACATAACTGAAGAGAATCGATACATTTTGCCGGCATGTCTGGATGATTTGTCCTGAGCGATGCATACACTTTCGCAGACAATTCGCATCTGTATCTCAAGATTTTCATCTCTCATCGTCAATGGATAGCACTTCTCTTCCCTGGAGCCTGATCTTAACCCAAGACAAACTTGGAAAAGTCCAAGCCGTTCGCCTTGTGTAAGAAAAACTTCATAACTGATCGAAAATCAATCTGCATTCCTTGAAATGCTTTGGACATGATTAGTTCACGTTCTACGCAAAAATAATAATTTGTACCAACACCTAAACATCTTCAGAAATCAATCTGACAAGGGGACGTTTCCAGGCGTCAAATCGCTTTTTCAATAATAACCACATGACTGTAGGTAATCGATGGTGCTTAAATAATCAAATATTTTTTCTTATTACATATCATGATGATAACAATGTTTTTAAGCCTTTGGAGATTCGATTTGTAGAAACGGTTTTCCAGAGTCAATATTTTTTTCTTGAAATTATGTTTTGATCTGTCTTGATTGTAGAGCACGTCGAGTTACCTATGAAAATAAATTTTTAAGGCTATTGGACATGTCTTGACTTGACAACGCTATTATTCCTTTAAAATCTGTCGTTACTGAAGAAAGTGACTGTAGAGGAAAAAGGTAAAGAATTATGTATTGAAAATCTTCTTTCCTATCATGAACAATGATTTTTACAAATGTATATGTCAGCGTCCAATCCCAGATTGGTCTAGGCGAATATCGCATTCGAGACTGGACGCGTCCATACTCGGATCCGACATTGGACGGACATTTATTCAAGCCATTCTTGGATAAAACATAGAACACACGTCCATTCTAAGATTGGACTGAAATAGATAGGCGAATTTAAGACTGGACTAGTCCATTGTCAGACTGAAAGATAAGTGCGGTGAATGTCAGATTGACATAGGCCAATGTCGGAATGAATACACACTATTCTGAACCCGATGTCAAAGATCATGTTTGAGAGTTATACTCCTATCAAGCAAGTGAGATCCGAGCATAGTGAAACAACAAAATAGAGTGAACAGAAACACTATACAAAAATCAATATAGATGAATGTTGTTAATGCCTTTGATTTTCGCAACATGAACCGTTTTTATGACATTTTGTAGAGCAGAAGACATTGTTCTTCTTACACGTGGATTGTTTAGTTTTGCATGCACCTTTGCAAGAGCAGGTAGTTCCATTGACTGCATCACGAACAAATAGTTTGGAGGCAGTTATAACCGATATTCTCTTCAACTGAGCTTTGTTCAACTGAACTAGTTGTTCAGGCACAGCTGAAAGTTTCACAACTGATTTCAATGGCCACCACTGATTGATGATACTGAACATACATGCGACTTTGAACAATACGTTGAAGCTGAACTCTTGATCTTGTATTACTGACTTTTACAGTGAACTTAGCTGAATTTTTTATCTTTTGTCTTACCTCTCTTCACATGTGTGTACGCGTGATCTTTTAGTATTATACAAATCTAATGCCGTTAAACAATAATATTATGAATTAGAAAGTTGGACTTCGTCTATTGTTCAATAGACGAAGTCCAAAATAGACGAAGTCCAACTTTCTAATTCATTAAAACCATATCCAATTTCAGCGTATATGTCTGCTTCTTTCATACTCAAATATTCTTTGTCTTTTAATCTTTCTAATGCACTTATGAACTGGTCAATAGCACAATTGTACTTTTCTAATTTTTTGTAGCAAACACCAGTTTGAAAATGTAGTTCGACTATTTTCATGGCTGAAGAAGGCAGAGTGTCTATTACCTTTATGTAACATTCTATAGCCAACAATTCGCCTGTTGGATTGCTTGATGGCAGCGTCCAAGTTTAGAACACAAGTCAGCAATTAGTTTTAGATTTGACGAAGATAATGCACCATCTAAACTTAAGTCATAATGGTTTATAGCGAGTTTCCAGTCTTTCCTTTCTTCATACATTGCACCGATTCGCCAATGTAAGTCAACTACTTTTCTTTCATCTGTATGTATTTTTAAAGCATTCTGATAGTAATTCATAGCTAAGCCAAAATTTAACTTTTGTTGATAACATCACGCCAAGACGACAGTATGAATCTGCAATTTCAAACTGATCTTGTTGAAGGGTTAACACATTCTTTGAAAATATTCAATTGCTGAATCAAACTCTTGAATTTGTTGATAATACCATCCTAAACGAAAATTCATTTCAAGAGCTTGTTGTGTATTGTCGTCGTTGTCGTAAGAATCATTTATGATCAATGTTTGAACAATATTCTCTATTTGTTCAATGTAACAGCAGGCAAGTGTGTAGTTTAAATATGCAGCATCTATCATCATCATCATGCAGTTGTATCATCATCATCAGTATAGGACTGTACTATGTGTATGCTTTTTATAACAATCAACGGCTAAATCATACTCATTTTCCTGTCTATACGAATTGTCAACATATTTGTACATAATTATGCTGTTTTCCGATTCTTCTTTACCCTCACTCTAAACTTTCTGTCAATTTCGATGCATTTTCTATGATAAATTAATACCTCGCTATCTTTTTCTAATGCAATATAACAACTACGTATTAATATATAGAAATCGAATTTTGTGTGTTCAGTAGTCTGTTCAATCAATGAAAGTCCTTCAAGCAGGTATTCTATGGTCAAATTATATTCATGTTTTTTGTAGTATAGTTGACCAATTTGTTCGCAACAATATATAACTTCCTTAAAAATTTCGCCGTTTTTCTTCTTATCAATACCGCCACTTAGTAATCTATTTAGAACAATCTTGTATTGTTCGATAGCCGAATCATCATTTTCCTGTTTCATATAAAATGAACAAATTCTATACTGTAAAAGTAATATAATTTGAAACTGATTACTGTTACAGTTTGGATATTTAGCTTCAATAGATTTTAACATTTCATTGTGTTGTTTAATACCAATCGAGAACTCTTTTGTCCTTATATATATCAATAATATTCTCATCGAAAGCGTCAGTAAATTATTATAATGTAAAACATTCTCAATAAATAAATATTTATCAAAAAATTCTGTTAAAATTTTATTATTTTATTCGTAGGCAAAATCGTATTCATTAATTAATAAATACGTCATACCTATATAGTTTATACACGATTGTTTAATCATGTCATAATTGTGATCTTCCAGTGATTTATCGAACAACTTCTTATGATATTCAACGCTTAAATTATATATTTTCTGACAATCTAAAATTTTACAGATTATCATGTACGATAACTGACGTTTGTTTTCATCTCCTAATTTTTCATTTATGATCAATGAAATCAGAAATCAAGAAATCAGCATACTCATACGCTAAATCGTACTAATTTAATTCAAGATAACAACATGCAACTTGGTGATGAATATCACTCATTTCTTCATCGTTAAATCGTTCATTTTATTCGTTATTTTATTTTACCAAGTTTTAAAGGTGTGGTTATTCGTGATGGATCATTTACACTATAAATCTTTTGTTTATACAATAAGCATTTTTCTAAATGTTGAATTGCCATTTCATAATTCATTAGTTTACAATAAATATGACCAATCGAATAATGTATATGGCTAAATGAAAGATAGCTTTTAATTCAGTAAACATTTCAAAAGCTTGTTAACAATGTTATGTATAGAGCGTATAAATAATTCATTTGTCTATCATAACAACAGCTGATGCAGAAATAAAGTGGAGTGAGTAATTCAATACTAAATAGAAAAAACGGTGAGTGAGGATAAGTTGTAATTACGCCATTTTATTAATCAGCAAGAGTTTGATGAAACCAGTGCATATTCAAAATTAGCATCAGCTTCTGAGTAATTCAACGTATTTAGTTTTGCAGAGAAAACGATTTTCATTTTATTCAAAAACTTTCGATGTTCTCTCTGTTCAAATTTCTAAAAAATTCTATCTAAGGTCAACTTCCTTCGGTTTTAGCATGTCAGTCTTCTTTATCTGTATTTAAACGTGTGTTAAGAGGTCATCTAGGCTTTCAATAATTTTTCTGTTTAGATCTACTCTGTCTCTTAAACTGTATTACACTTCTGTTTTCTCTCACAATGTATGTGTTATAGTAGCGATTCTTCTTAGAAACTTTTTAGTTTAGGTTATCATGAGGTGTCTCCGGATGCCACAAGTCCTTTTGGTGCTTTTTTGTGATATCCTACCTTTGTGTAAAATAAAATTTCAATTTCAATTTCAATTTCAATTAAAGCACTGTATTGTATCACTCAACCCAGGATTTGATGCTGATTACGAATACGCACTTCTTTTTATTAATAATTGATGAATAAAGATTGACCTTATCTGTGTCATTCTTTATCAGACACTCCTTCGTTCCATAGAGAATTGAACAGTGTATGAAGTAGTGGATTTCAAAACATTTTGAAATGGTTTCAGAAATTGTTTAGTCTCCAGCAGAACCAGTTTTTTAGGTATGAATAGCTTAAGAACCATTGCTTTCACATAAGCTTTCTTGATTGAAATATGTGGAGCCGGATGTACTTTATTATTAGAGATTAAATAATTCGACGTTAGTTCTTGTGACTAGGAGACGTTCGACAACGTCAGTAAAATCTGTTGGTAAATGAGCAAATATGCATCTTCTCGCACTGTAAATAAACTACCTACCACTTTTGTTCGTAATAAACTGGAATATTTTTGTCATTGGACTCAGTTAGTGAAACTCTATAAAATGAGACTAGCACCAAGAGTTGTGTATAATAGTAAGTCCCACATGAATTAATGCTTAACCCTTGACAGCTGTTCTCAATTTTGGACTTCGTGAATGTTCAGGGGTCCGGTTGGATTCACACGGGAACGTATGGGAGAAGCTTAAGCTTTTTACCATTTGATTGAAGCATTTCATACATGGATCAATGGTCTACATCATACCCCTTCTCGGTGAATATGCTGATACTGATGCAGGGTATGTAAACGTATATTACTTAGAAGACATTTTTGGGAACGGTTTTATAATTAGGTATGCATCAGTTTATAACTGGTGTTGGAGCATCCGGGAAAATTTCTATACATCGGTTATCAAGAATCGCTCATAGCTGCGAAACGTCTCATTTGGTAGAAAAGTGTTTGCTCTACCAAAACAACGACAGAGGAAAACTCTAACACGGCTGGAAATCGTAAATATAACACCATGGTTGTTATTGGGTCCGAGTGGACCCACACTCCAGTTTTTTGTCTGTAACACTCATTCACGAGACTTGATATAGGTAGTGTGCATAGATAGAAGATTGACGATTAGGAAAGAGAGCAGCTCGAAAGAGATGAATACTGCCGAGTAAGAAACAAAAAACTGCACAGTGGGTCTAACTGGATCTCCAAACAGCTGTCAAGAATTAACTAGATTTATTCTATTGTGTAATCAATAATTTCGGAGCTGAATAGACTTAGAGCAAAAAATGAAATCAATGAACCGACATCCCAGCAAACACTTACCTTTCATTTGCTGATACATTTCTGAATGCTTCTTCTATGTAATCTAATGCAAATTGAACTTGGTCAAGGTTCAAATATATATCACTTATTCGCATTAAACTGACAGCAATTGACACTGAATAATTATATTTAAAATTTCGATAAATATCATATGTATTGAATGCATATTTCAACGCTAAATCGTACTGTTCATTTGATGTGTAAGCATCAGCAAGATTACCACTCACAAGATAAATTTCATATTCATTAATTTTCATATTATTACTGTTTGAAAGTACATTATTCAGTAATTCTTCAAAATAGGTTATAGCTTTTTCATTTGAATCAATTTTTAATAAATATTTACCGAAAAATGAATTTGCATTAATATCAGATAGTATATTATTTATCATATTGCCATGCAAATATTGTCGTTCTATTTGAAAATAATCACTTTTCAAACATTCAATATTATTGTTATTGATTCCATTCATCGATACAATATATTTATTATTTTCATATCTAATATTTCTAATTTGGAATATAGCACCATGATCAAATAAAAATTCATCTTCATCAGTATTATAACTGATTTTTGATATATCAGCATATATAATATTTTGTAAATGGTTTCAATTTCCAATATTACATTTGTACTGACATTTCGGCTACATTGTGATATAGTGAAGTTGATAAAAATTCATTTGTTGATATATATTTACCAACTGATTGTTTTAACTGTCCAATAACAGTTGTTGGTAAGGTTAAACCACGATAAACTGTCATTTTATCAAACATTTTTCTATACAATTTTAATTATCATCAAATAATAATTTTATATTTTGACATAAATCTTTAATAAAATATCTCAAACGAAATAATGTTTCAATATCTTCTGTTCTTAACGCTTTATTAATAAATCTGTACAAAAAACAATCTTTTGTATACCATCGAATAGCATCCGATGAACGATAACTTTGTTCAAATTGATCAATTTATTCTAAATATTTTATATTTAATCTGTAATATGTTCGACAATAATTAATCATTTGTTTTTTTACATTCTTCACTTTCAGTTTGCATTGTCATTAATGTATCACGAAATAATTGATACCATAAATAATTATTTGATTCAATTTCTAAATCACGTATGGGTTTATCAATTTGATTCAGTAGCGTAAATATCGATAAATGTTTTAATATTAAATGTATTTATTGTTTTAATGTAGCAAATAACGTTTTATATTCTGTATAGATATCGATCAGTTTTGAATATTTTTTTTCATCAATTAAATTTTGATATAATGTACTTTTAAAACAAAATATATAGATTGAATCAATCTTATCGTTATTGTGCAATAAAATCAACGTCTGATGACAATATCGTCAAGAAACAATTAAAATAATTTTTTCATTTTTTATACGATTTACAGCTGTGTTTAATTCGTCGAAGGAATAACAAATTAAAAATACGATCGTGCAAGTTTTTTAATATTTCGAATTCTTTCGTAATTTGATTATCAAAACACATTAAAGTTAGATCTTCATCAGTATTGAATGTGAAAATATTTTTTGATACTTCAATCTCTTCTTTTGTTATTGAACGTCTTTCAGTAGCAAAGCGACGATGCAACAGATGATATAGAATATGAATAAAGTACAGTAGACAGTTACTGAAGAAAGTTATTGTTCGACGGAAAATATGGAAAAGCAGCAAATCATTGATGAAATTAACAATATCCTTGACGTTCATGTTTGTGGATAACAACAACTCTTCGAGCTGATGCTACTTTTATTATGGTAGTAAGTCTTATGGCGAGCGGTGAATCGTAAGAAACTGAGAAAGAATCTAAAATGAAAAAGTACTTTATCTCATCAATCTCAAACCGTAGAATGAAGTGTAAAAAAGCAGATCTTAGCGAAGAACGTCGAAAAGGAAAATGTTGAAAGCAAACAATAGGAACATGGAGAATATCGAAAGGAAAATGTCGAAAAAAAAAAGATTCCTTTCTGTTTCTTGAATAAGTGAAAGAGATATACGTATTTTTATCATCAGAACTATTATTGGTTCTTGTCAGAGTAATACTCATTCCAAAAGTTAACTGAATAGCTCAGTATGGCTGCAGCGATGAAAGCCTCATCCTCACTCCACACCCCTTTTCGATATTTTACTTTTCCACATTTTCCTTATCGACGTTTTCCGTCAACCCCGCAAAGTAGCTTCGCGTGATCAAAAATCTAAGTGCATTCTTCAATATACAGGGATCAATAGAAGATTCACGAACGAAAGATGCTCTCACTTAAGTGTCTCATGAAAGTTGACCACCAGATGATAAAGTGGCGTTTCCTGAATTTGAAAGCGTCATCAAGATACTTGACAGTAAGAATCGCTGACCTATCGCATCAAACCAGCTATACATTGCGAACTTCTTTAAATATTTTTATGATCATTCATATAATCTACTCACCTGAGCATGTGGACTTTGAATTGTTTCGGTTCTTGTACGTCCTGTTTCGTGCAGTTCTATATTAATTTGAAGATGCACCATACACAAAAAAGGAAAATGCGTACGACAAATAAAATAAGCAAAAAAGAAACTTTTTATTTCAAGTCACAAATAAAGTTACATTGAAATGCAGTAAAAGACACAGATGACGGCTACTACTCATAAACTTTACAGGTGTACACACGTTTTGGTCGCATATGAAGAAAAGAAATCATTCTTTTAACAGTGCACTCAGAAGGAACAGTTTCGATTTATTGTTTTTTCAATGTGCTTGAATTATGTGAAAAACTTCACTAATATGTCAGAAAGATTAGATGCTGAGCTGCTACACCAACATACTTATTTTATAGATTGGGATGATCAAATGATCTATAAACTTTAAATGGTGAAATTTTCCACTGAGTTTTTATAACCTGACTATCACGTGAAAAACTTTTTAACAGTTTCAATCTCTTTGAAATATCAGAGAGTTCTACTCGAAATAGCCTTCTATCTTTTGTGGTCTTCGTTTTCTAGACAACACTTCACTGAAAAAATGTCATTACGGCATTACATCAAGGGGGAAATAACCTCCAATTTCGCTGCACACACTTCGAAGTGTCTCTCACTTGAAGTGACACTTACGAGGGAACCTTTCGAGATGTCCCTTCCAATTTCAGCGATTTGTACATGGATCAATAGACCTCAGTGAGGTAGTAAATATCCTAAAAGTTGCGTGCTCATAACTTCTGAAGACCCGGTTTGCAGGAAACAATTTTTCAGAAACTCTAAAGAATACCCAAAACCTCCTTTTTAATGAAGCATGATTGTAGCACGCAAATTTCTAATTAAAATGAGGCATCTCCCAGCTCTACACGACCTTTCTTCGCAAAGTTATAGAATTTACAAAAAAAGCCCTAAATTAATTTCTTTTTAGTTGTGTAGCTTTGAGTTGACAATGGACATTTAGAGCTTTCCTTGTTTCCATGAATTTGCAAAGAAAGTCATGTAGAGCTGGGAGATGTCTCATTTTAGTCACCCTTCATACCTATATTAGGTGAAACAACTCATTTCTGCCTATTTTCGAATATATATATAATTAAAAAATCCATAATCCAGTTAAGATCAATCTAAACTATGTCAGAATATCAAGATGTACTCTATTTTACTTGCTCAAGACGATTTTTTACTCCAGAATAGTAAAAAACATACTTGTACTTCGAAAGATTTCTAGAAAACCGTGTCAAACGAGAAGGTATTTTGTGTTGATTTTTAAAGCTTTTATTGAACTGTATAGTATTGAGCAGGTAAAATAGAGTACATCTTGATATTCTGACATAATTTAGATTGATCTTGACTGGATTATGAATTTTTTAATTATATATATACTCGAAAATAGGCAAAAATAAGTTATTCCACGTAATATAGGTTGTCACTAGACTGAAGATTTTTCGAAAAACAAATATTGCCACGAGAGTCAGCGTGGTTGATTACCTACGTTTCCATTATTTTCGGAATTACCACACCTAAAGAAGTACCTGGGACTCTCAACCAATCCGATACCACGCCTGAACCGGGAAAACTCAAGAGTTCGCTTAGTTCGCATTTTGAAGAGGACACTTTGGACTATCTATCCATGGAAAAAAACTGGTGGATTGTTATTCAGTTTTCTGAGATCCAAAGTGGTATTCCAATGATCTCCTTCTGATTAGTTTTGGAAAAGGGTTTTGTTTATGAAAACATCGGTTAAACTGTCTTCTTTTGATTGTTGAAAATCGCAGGTCCCTGCCTTCTATCGTTCTGAAAAACAACTGAGTGCATTGAATTTTGGTGCCGATAGTGTTTTTAACCAAAATCTAATTCTCCTTACAGCAAGGTCCAAAGTTCGGATCACGATTTGCGGCAGAAAAGAGAAAAACAGTCAGAAAAGCACAAAATATAAATTAATACCACGTTCGCTCTAAAACTGACTCACACTCTTAGAGTGGCACTTCGATACTTCAAGTATCACCTCGGCACTTCAAGTGACACTTCGGCCATAAGTGCACACACTTGAAGTAAGATTTTTCCTCATGCAGAAGGACCTCATCTATAAAGCTGAAGTTTTTTCTGCAATCAATACAGATTTAACATTAGGTGTATATTTGTTGATTTTCTGAGATGCCTTTTTTAATCGGGACAACTAAAATACAGACTAATATACAAAAAGCCTCTTTTTTTCAATCAACGTTTTTTGAAATATCTAGTTGAATCGCAAATTCCGATAAATAGTATAGTGGAAAAACAGGTTTCGTGCGATGAATAATAACGCTTAGGAGTACCACTCTGCTCTTATTCACCTTGTTGGTGAAAGTGCAAAGAAAGAACGGACACACCCAAGCAACCCAATAACCCAAAACCCAAAATAACCCAATTTTTTAGGTTATTCATCTAGGTTCAGCTCCATGTACATCTAGATGCACGTGGACCTGAATCTAGACAAATAACCCAAAAAATTGGGTCATGTTTGCTTGGGCAGTCAGGATTTCTACCAGAGATAGAATATCAACAACGCGGACCAATATGTTTTTGCGCAACATTTCTTGAAATGATCTTCTGCGGTTTTTCTGGAAAACACACATTTTCATTAGAGAATATGACTATCGTCAAAACTTCATCCAATCGAGTCCGAAAGCTCATTTTCTTTTTCCATTTTTAAGCTTTTCTTCGTAAGTTGTAAAAAGACAGTAAAGATCTAAGGTGAAATCTAGGATTTTGATCTTGAAAACCCATAACTTAGAAAAAAACATCAAAATCCCTTTTGGAAATATCATCTTTTGATTTAAGCTTTTTGCTTTAATCTTCCAAATTATTTTAACCTTTTGATGATAATTAAACTAAAGGTTAGGCATGCAACGGTAGCGGTAAAGACGGTAACGGTACTACCCATACCGTTTCATCGGTCATCGTAGGTAACCTTTTCCGGATAATACCTATTGTAAAAAATCACACAGTTGCAAATGTAATTTAACTCAGTCTTCAATAACTTACAGACACATGAAAGAATCAAAATTCGTGAACCTTAGTAAGTAGAAAAATAAAACGTAGAATAAAGCATCAAAATCTGTTACAATAACGACATCGTCATATACACTACAGAATTTCACTCTCTCTAAAATCGATACTAACTGTCCGCAATGAACGATAAAACCTGTGGATCGATAACGGCAGTAGAACGGTAGCGGTAGTAACGGAAGAACGGTAGCTATACTACCCATAGTAACGGTAACGGTAGTACCCGTAAACTACCGCTACCGTTGCATGCCTACTAAA